TGTCGTTTAAAATCTATTTGTTTGGTAAACTACACAGTGTCTATTCTATGAACAGATCACAGTACACAGGATAAAGTAGTCATTGCATTCACGGTATTATATACCGCCAATTGATATTAACACTTAGAAATTACTCACAACAATCAGTTGTATTTGCTAACCACATGGAAGTGATCAGACTACCAGACGACCCTTGTGTTTGTTTGGGATTGAGATCATCAGTTGTGAATGCGGCCGGAGTAACTCAAATAACAGCGTCGGATCAATTCATCCCACTAAAACTTCAGACTAGCTAGTTAGGTGAACTAATAACTCACAATTTGCAAACTATGCAGTTTGAAGTGAAAACTCACCACATTCTCGTCTAGAAGCCCAAAAAATAATAAGGTTACAATATAAGACCTGCTTGATACTACTACTGGCAGCCAAGAAAGTAAGCATATAATGTACTGTTGGTTGGTATGAATGCCTGGAAACCACTCGAGCTGACTAACAAGCACCACTGGTTGGCGTGAGTGCTTCCCAATTGCTCATTAATATGAGTAGGGAATGAAAACACATTCTTTCACTTACTCTATTGATGGTCACGTTTTGCGTCGAGTGGATGTCGAGTCTAAATATACTGATCCTTTAGTTCTTCTCCATTTTGACGGAATTTTGACTTTGTATTTGTGAATTACAGCTTTTCTCCTAGAAATAGTCCAGTCAGTCAAATACAGCAATCTCAATACCTTCATCTTTACATATAAAGTTTAAATATCCATCTTTTGTCGGATCTCTTACATGATGGGCATAGTAATCGGAATATGATAATATTTACCTCTTGCATCTGAAAACTTCAGATGTAAGTCTCTCTATTATAGTCAGAAATCAACTACTTATCTCACTAACTTTCGGATCAAATTTCTTTATTCCCATTTGTCACCTACGAGATTTCTTGACAGTGATGATTAGATGTCAAAAATGTCAAACAAAAATCTGATCCAAGTGATTGATATTTCATTGGATGGTCCATGAATTTCTGTACATGATTTTCAGTCACAGTTTTGGAATTCTTGTTATTAATTCAAATGCAAAAGACAAGATTCACGTGATGCTAGCATCTATGTGGATACATTAACTGATCTACACCTGCATAGCTTAGTAAATCGGTTGTACAAGCACGACATTGTTAAAATTCGCTCATAAGTGTTTAACAGCATAGTTCTTGATAGGAGAATGAAGACAGACCAACCAACAACTTGATTTGGGACTAGAGTGGTTTACTAAATCATATCATCAACAAGGACTTCATTCAATCCAACATATATACACTAAGACCAAGCGATTCGAGGGGACTTCACTTGTACTTATTATTACTATTACTATTAAAGTGAAAGCCTTTCCAAATCCAAAATGGAAGGGAATTTCCAGTCTAATTGGCTTCTGTAACCTGAATTTTATTTGCAATTCTCCTTTCTACCCATTCCCTCACTTCAAAAGTCCAAGCCTGCGTATCATTTTTGTAAGATGTTCTCATCCCAAGATCTCACTTCTTTTCACTTATTATTCTCAGTATCATGCAAATTACGTACGACTAGTTGGCTATTTTCTTCTGTCATTTGAATTCAATATATTCTTCGCTAACTAATACCAGTCGTTCACCCTTCCGTGGACTTTGTATAACGTTTCCCGAATAACTATCTAGCTGCATAACTATGATTGAAAGCAATAAAAACAGTCGTCTCTTCACTTGTCTTTCTAACTGACATCACCAACGATATTCAACATAATTACGATATCATTTGTTCACTTTTATAACAAGTTTACACAGACTATACAACTTTTGTTATCTGAAAACTGAACTTGTAAAATGTACTGAAACATTGCTACTTCACCCTTTTCCATCATTAATTTTCTGAAACTTTAGGACTAGCTCTGTTCCTATTATTGACAAACTCTTCCTCTTCCCCTAATTCACCACGGTAACAATCGAAAAGAGATCTAGCTGACCATCTAGTGTAACGACAAATGAATAGTTAAGCACTATCCATTCACACGACAAATGAGCATTAACCCTAGTGACTGCAGTGAAACGATGACCTAGTTAGTCCCATAGCTCAGTTGATGCAGCAAGTGACCAGTAACTCCAAGGTCACTAATTTGAATTCCATCGTGACTTGGATATCTACTTTATTCTCATCCCTCATCCATTACAAAATAACGAAAGTCTTTATTGCATATCACTGCTAATTGTAGCGTCGTAGCCCACTGCTACGCTGGTTAAATGACGACTTGTATTTTATGTTTTAAAGTGAAATTTTCCACTAAAGATCATTTTATCCACGCACATACTATCAGTGGCATCATATTCTTGAACTGCGTTACACTTCCAGCATTTTCACTATAAAATATTGCTTGACATTGAATATCTACTCAGTGTATTGGATTAAAGGAGGCGGTAAGTTCAAAAGTTAAACGTATTTTATTGAATTTTCATGAAATCATGCCGGTATATTTTGGCCTTTTTACTGAAACGCCCTATCACCCATCGGACAAAGCAGATGGTCCAGCTTCAAGAAAGGGATATGCCAAATAATCACTCAAAATAACTAATCCCCTCTAGAGAAATTCTGTAGAAAATGAACAGACTTCATGAATCGCAATACCACTGATCCATTCATTCAATCATGGTATAGATATGATCAGTTGAAAAAATAACCCAAACTCATCCTTAATGCCTAATATTTTAGTATGTGTGGCTACGTATTACACCTGTGTCACCTTTGATATGTGGAATACATAATACAACGTAAATTCATTATGGGGGAATTTCATAGTAGACATGATGACGTTGCAAAATGACCGTGCCAACTTTACAGAAAATGCCTGTGCACGAGATAACTAAGCACAATTATTTCTATTACATTTCAGTGTTGTTCACCTTAATGTTAACCCATCATATTGACCACATTTCCCCTAAATATGATCTCTTAAACATGTTTACGTAAACGAGTAATAGGATTATTGCTCTATTATGAATTTCCAGAAAGCCTGCATGATGAACAAGGTAATCAAATGGATCCGGCATTTTCTTGGGCTGTTAAAATGTGTTGACACAATTTGCTTGCATCGTACTTCAAGTACGATTTTATTTAATTGGATGTTTTAACTTTATGGAAATTTTCAGCAAAGGAAATCTACCATTCATCGAACAACTTTCGCCATTGAGTACGATAAAACGCTGGTGATGATCTACTACTACAGGCTCTGTCAGACAATCACAAAAGCGTTTATTATAACTATTTACACAATTCGGAAGAAAATTAACTGTTCGGGTTTTGATACAATGTGTAACGAGTGAAGGTGGAACGAAAATCTGGTTTGCAATAGGATTCGAACCAGATAACCACCAAACTATCGGCCGATACTCTCCCATTTATGAAGATCCCAGAACGTCTTATAATCACGAGTTAACATCAGTTAAAGATTAATTGGAAATCAAACATTGCTGGATAGCTGTTTCATCCTAGTTTAGGACTCCTCAGTACTATGAATCCATGACTCCACCAGCAATGGATAGACCTTCAGATTCTGTCTAGATCTATCCTCCGAATGGAACAAAAGACGTCCTCCTGATATCGACATGAAGTCAAGTTCAATAGTATTGAGACTGATTATATATATATATATATATATGAATGTAGGGTGTAAACTTCAGCCCATTCCACTTAAAACTAACCACCTATACACAGAAAACTATCCTGAGGTCTTCTACAAGTAAGGTTTGATCACAAGAGACAATACCATGCAGTTCTTATTACTGAATGAAATAAACTACACGACCATTGAAAACCCAGGAGAACTTGACAGTTGCTTAGTCCTATTTCGGAACCGCAGGGTAGTTCAGTGAACACTTTGTTGTCTGACTGAACTTAGAAATCCTCCAACTTTTAACAATTCACCGCATAGTTTAACTGTCATTTAGTGTTAATAGTAACAATATATCCTCACATCTCAATGTATATTTACCTCAAAACATAACTATTCTCATTCTTTTTACTTCAATTACATAAGATTTCCAATTTTTCCTGTGATTTCTGATACTTGTGAAATAAATTTCATTTTACTAATACAATGTCTAGTTTTATTATATTCCAGACTGTTAAATGCTAATTTGACTTAACGGTCAAGCTTGAAGACAACAATGACCCGGCAAGTTGCACTGACTGGGACGTTCCACATTGACAGAAATACAGTTTGAACAGCGGTCAGAATAAAGGCAGTTACTGCCAAAGTGCAAGTTATTCACATCATTTTGGGGGTCTTTCAGTGAAGTCTTGCAAATGAGGATGTAACAGCAGTTGTGTTTCCTTCAAACGACCAGCAAGCCATCTACGTTGCATTTGTGCTCTGGAGAGAGTGAGGTAGAAAACATCGATCTCGAAAGTTATACATCCTAACTTACTTTGGGGAAGTTTGCAGCCGGCGTCATAACTTTCGTACGGACAAAACTCCAAAAACCACTTCGAAATGACCGTGTGACTGGCCTCAAGCAGTTGCTCTTTTGCTCCCACTGTCAAGTAATACCAATGTCCTTCCTATTTCACACATTCCAAGAAGAAATCAATTTCTGTGGGAAGTACTAGGCACCTACACACTTCCGTAAGCAAACAGACCTTACTACAAGTCAGTTATTACGTCAAAGTTTCAAACAGTAAGGTTTAATAGAACAATAGTCCATTTCTTACCTGCTGTTTAGTCTATCATTACTGTTATAACTTCACATAAAACATCAGCTTACGTAGCCACTGGATTATTTTAAACAGATAAATAATATACCTCATTAGCAAGAAGTGACTAATTCTGCCGATCCACTTTCACACAGATTTATAACATATGCACACGAACTTCAGTTCTATAATGTAACCTCAGTTTAAAAAACCAACATGTTGACTACAAAAATTCTGTTTCAATAAGCTAGTTTACTAGTTTCCTTGCAATTAGAAAAAAATACAAAATATAAATAAAATTATCTATATTTATGACTACTTTCGTTCAAAAACTTAATTATATGCAATCTATCAACAGAAATAGTATTATGTACGGTTGAGCGATTTCAATTTTTCAGCTATTTCATCAGCTGTGTTATTGGCTATTGAAATGCATGCTTCTTTCCCCATTTCTATAAAAAGATATTAAAACAAATAAAGCAGATAACTAAACAAACCATAACGAGCAAACACTTTTGGTGTAGTATCTTCTGATTCACGAACCATAAACTTCACATGGGGATTAGCAGTTTTAAGTGATGGATAATGACGAAGGATGTAATCTCTGTAAATTTATAGGGAAAATGAAATTATTTCTTTGTCAAAAGAAAAAATTGAATTAATTTGAATGAAATACTGTCTCTTAACTGAAATACAAACTCTTAGTTAAATGGATACGTTCTCGTTCATGTTTTTTGTGCAATCCCTGACGCTTACATTACACCAGACTTGTAAACTTAGGGAGAGATATACACACTATAAAACTTTAACACAGCAGGAGGTTCCTACCACTTTATTAAAATAGACACAACACCAATAAAGTAGAAATTGGATCATCCTACAACTGAGCTGTTAAAACCAAGTTCATATACAGAATAAATAGCACTCTCAAATACTAATAAACACTGGGATATTTCAGTAGCACTCTTTGTAGGATGTAAGTAAAGGCATGAGAGCTCCTTTTCAATAAAAATGTCAGCTGATTAAGGAATTAATTAGTATTGACTAAAATTTTCATTTAATACTGCTACATTTACCTGATTTTAATATACATTCAGAAATCTCGACAGTACTACTAGTAATTTAGTATGGACAACGTATAAACAATTTGTTTATGATCTAATATTTTGTGGCTTAGCGATTTGCTAGAGTGTAGTTCTCGAAATGAATGAAATGTCCTTTGAAGACTAGGGAGGTATTTCGCGAATTTGAAAGTTAGAGTGAACTAAAATGCACACAAAGTTTTTAGACAAAGATGACTAGATGCTGAGAAAAGGAACCAGAGATTGCCGTATTTCTCTAGAAGAACTACTATCAGAACTCTAAATTTGACATGTACCATGGTAGATACATCCGGTTAAACATTCTGTAACGACGCTCTCCTTCATTTTTTCCACATGTGATGCTTAGAAATAAAGAACCTCTTATATTTCCAAAGAAATATCTCGAGATGGCTTCCACGTAAGAAACTCCTAATGTCTAAAAGTTTCATATCGGACGAAGTAGTATTTATAGAACCGGAAAACTATGGGACCAAGAAATCAGAATAGTCTGAAAATATAGTGACAATCACAACAAATACTGGAAGAGAATCCTATGATTTTCTGGCAATCCTCCTAGTCACAATAATTAAAATCAACGCTATAGTGGAGGGGCGAATTCATGACTAAAACGTAGAACTTAGCAACATACTGTCTGTCTGTCTGTTTTCGACATAGAACTTTGCACAAATGTGCGACAGTTCAAGTCGCCACACTTCGTGTAGCACGCGAAGCAAGAGAAGAAAGTACAAGAAAAGCATAATAGAAACAGTGAGCAGAGGTGTGAGACAAAGGAGTAATAAAGAAAAACAAAACAGTTTCATTGGAGATCATAAGTCACAAGGAGTGGATGCATCTGCGCCGCCACTGAGAACGATTTTGAGCCATGTCACCAATTGTTTCCAACCATAGATTTTTACCGTCCCGAGGACCCCAGCCTGGAAGTCTACACCTTCTTACGTGGCTTAGACCAACTGTTGTGGATTTCATTGACTGATGCCATGTTTTTGTTTGACCGCCGCTAGCTTTTTTCCAGCCTGACCCTATATCCGCTAACATTGCTCGTCGAGGGAGGCGATGGCTTGGCATACGTAACACATGTCCTAACCATCTCAGTCTTTGTAACTTCACGACTTCGTCGATTGATTTCCCCTGTTTACCTAGAACTCGACGCCTAACCTCAATGTTGCTCACCTTATTATGCCACTTTACACGGGAAATAGAGCGCAGGCACCTATGATCAAAGACAGCTAGTCTTTTCATGTCTTCCACTCTCAGTGGCCAGGTTTCACAACCATAAAGGAGGACGGAGCGGACTGATGAGCAATACACCCGCCCTTTGGTCGATAGTCGAACATCTCGTCTACGCCACAGTCGGCGTAAACTGGCAAATGCGAAACGAGCCCCCTGTATTCGTGCTGAGATTTCGTCAGAGATCAACCCGTTGGGGCTGATGGTACTTCCCAAATAAGTGAAGCGGTTAACGTGCTCTACCACTTCACTTCCTATTTTTAAACTAGGCGTCGATGTAGTCCAGTCCTGTAACATCATCTTGCATTTGGCGGGAGCGGATCGCATGCCAAACATTCGTAGATTACAGCTCAAGGTGTTCAGAAGACTCTGCATTTCGTCAGCGTCTTCGCCTAGGAGGACTATATCGTCTGCATATTCCAAGTCAACGAGATTATTCTCAGGTAGCAAGTCAATCCCTGAATCGCTGAAGTCACTCAGGGTTAAGTCCATTAACACATCTATGATGAAGTTGAATAGAAAAGGAGATAATGGGCATCCTTGACGGACACCACTGGTCGTCATCAGCTCAGATGACAGCTCGCCGTAAGCCCTCACCTGACTGTATGAGTACGAGTAGAGTGCCTTAATCAGTGCAATATATTTTCTCGGAATTCCCTTTACAGCCAAGCATCTCCAGAGAACTTCTCGATCGACAGAGTCGAATGCTACCTTTAGGTCAAGAAATATAATGACTGTTGGACGCCGGTAGGAATGCCTATGTTCTAGAATCTGTCGGAGGGTGAAGATATGATCAATACACCCTCTTCCTGGTCTAAAGCCTGCCTGGCTCTCTCGTGTTTGTGCCTCCCGAGCACCACTTAGTCTACGCATGATTATTGAGCCTAGGATTTTAGATATCATATTAGTCAAGCTAATCCCTCTGTGATTATCACAGGAAGACTTGTCTCCCTTCTTGTATATGGGGATAATCAGTGACTTACACCAACCCGATGGGACGTCTTCTGATTCCCAGACGCTGCCTAGTACCTCAGTTAATGCACGGCAACATACAGCCTTGTTATCCATGCACTAGTCTCCTGCAGCCCCAAATTTGTGCTTGTTCGCTTAATCTCTTGCTTTACATACAAGCTCCATATTACCTAATAGTAAAATTGTATAGATTAAATAACCCATCGAGTATTAGGCAACTTGTTCTATCCAATCAATCTTACTGGGAAGTAACAAGCAATCTGCTAAGTAACATGACATGACGTACAACTAGTCTGAAGGCAAGTTTCTGGTGCTTCATTCAATGTCAATCGCACCCTCAAAATACATTCCTTAGCCGAAACTTGTGGAGAAGAAGCGATTTTTCTGATGTCATTTGGTGGGATGCAACACGAAAAAAAAAAAAGAATTCAATGGAACACTAAAGATCATGGTACCTCCCGTTATACTTTACAACAAAGTTGAATAGCAATGCGAACCAAAAAGCGCACAAATGATCTTGAAGCTATTAACCAGAGGAAAATTTAGGTGAAAAAGTCTATTTCTGAAGAAATGGTTAGCGTGTATTGATGCTGGACATGATCATCTCTTCAAAACATTGGAGGAATAACTCTCGTTTCCCCGTGAGTACCGGTATTCAACCAAATGAATGTTGCTTAGTGTCAGGAGCTTAAGTTAGCTTACGGTTAGGTTAACGACAGGACTGAACTGAAAGGTTAGAGGTAGTTTTAGAAGCCACCGATTACAATTTATGTCAAGGAACTTTTCTAGATGAAATATCTCTCTCGCTAGCAATACTTAACGGTATTCTCATGTAATAATTACATTATTATATGCTTAGGCTGATCTGTCGCTTCAAAGTTACCCATGCCATACTTTTCTTGGATTACTACTCCTTAACTTCTCTGCGTTTACCCACAAGAAGACACAGCTGGTGCATTCATTTCATTTGTTACATCGCCAAGCCAGAAATAGTGCTGGTAAAAAGGAATGGTTGGGCATGAGGCTAGCAACCCCATCCTGCAAAATAAACCCTGCTACAGAAACTTCAAGCCACCAGCTTGGAGCCCTATGTTCCACTGGGGAACGTGAAGGAAAAAAATTAGTCAACTGCAATATTATGAATCTAACATAGCCAACTGTTATTCCAAAACTTATAAAGAATCTATTGTTCCATCTAGCACAATTGTCAGCATACTCTACACCTGCGCGGAAATGAATTAGCTACCACACTTGTAACATGTCGCTTATGCAGTAGACCGACGACAGTGACATACTACATAGGACTGCTAAGGGACTGATCCCAGCTAACATTACAAAAAGATGGACAGAACACAGGAGAAAAGCAGTGCAAATATGTATAAACGGCAACAAGAATGTTATCATCCCGTCTGTTTTCCAAAATGAAAATAATACATGTACTGCTGACGCGCAGTAACCATAAGGGTTGGAAAGCTACTAAGAACTCTACGTTCAATGCAGATAACTTCGGGCCAATCGTTCTTGAACTAATTTTGAAAAAAACTTGACGCGGCTAGTAGAGGAATTAGTTTGTTTCATGATTTACTCAATAGTTTGTCTGTTATAATTTAGCTATACCTAAAATCTTTGAATACACTTAGTGTTTCATCATTTGTTAGTACTTAAAATATTAACAGATACTCTCAGACATCATATATGCCCCTTGGGCTGCTGAAACGCTAACTACTACGTCTAAAATACAGCAAGAAAGCCTAACAGCGACTAAACAGTGAAAAGGATCAGTAAAAGCCCGGTACGTGCTGGGTATTATACTGAGCACAGTTCCACAGCCCGTAAGCAGAAGTGGAATGTGCATATTATATAATCCACCCATTTGACCTGCGTTTTCACCACAATGCTAATCACGCAGATATTTTTCGTGACATCTTAGGTTGTAATTTTGTATTCAGTAACAAAAATTCACTTTTATAGGAAGTTAAAGCACTCAAGACACCTTATGCCAGAGCTAGATGGAGCAGCTTGCGTAAGAAGAAACCGCAGCTCCTTAACCTTGGGTCCGAATCTGGACATAGCGTAAGTTTCCAAACAGCCCACTATGTTTCAATGCCCAATACGTAATAATCCTTTTCCAAGCTAGAGTAAATCAAACTTAATTTTGTGAGCTAACTTCTAAGTACATGTGAAAGTCTCCGATTTCCGATGATCCAACATCCAATATCGTTTTTACAAGCTAGCGTTAACCGATTTGATTTCTTTGTGCTAGTCTCTTGATTGTGAGGTAAAGGTTCCTGGTCTTCGGTAAACTTCTGCGTAATTCAACCCACCAGCTTTGGTTGACTCTGTAGCGGTAAATAGTTCCCCAAAATTATTGGCCACAGCAATCACTCACCATTGGATGCTGACCACCACTGTTTAAGTCGACTTGTTTAGCTGAAGGCTTCCGGTCAAGCATCTCCGTCATTTGGTACCCCGTCGTGTCACGTGCACAATCACTAGCCAGCTAAGCGTTCGTTTAACGGTTTGTTTTGGTCCCGAAATATATCACGTAGTTTGGACGATCAATTATTGGCTTTTGCTTTGTCTTTGGTACGCGAGAACTAATAAGTTAGAGGCTGTGTAAGAGAATTCCGTCAACCTCTAAACTGGTGAGCCCAACCGCGAACTTCGTCCACGATAGTTCCGTAGATAACCCCTGTGAGTTCGTTCCATTTTGTATTTGTTCTTGTACCATATATTATTCGACATAATTTTCGTCATGAGTGATCTTAGTCCCAAGGTCATTCGTATCCCCTCAACTCCTAAAACCATTCAGCTTGTACCATAGTGGCCAGATAATGCTGAAACGTGGTTTCAGATAGCTGAAGCAGATTTTTGTGAGCATGGGATAACCGATCACCGTTCACAGTTACTTGCAGTTATTCACGCCCTACCGCGGGAATTATTCCGTAACATCAGTCAGCCGTGAGCATGCTGACAAGAATGAGAGAAGTTATTGGCCAAAGTCAGCTCGACGAAGGACTGTTTAGAGAACTCTTCTTATCCAAGCTGCCACAGTCTGTACAGACCGTACTTAGGGTGTTGTAATAGATGACTTAGCTATTTCTGCAGATAGAATTCTAGAAATAACTAAATGGTCAGTTCCCGAAATATGCTCGATGACTAAGCAGACTTCGAGTAAGGATCCTGCAATGATAGAGTTATGCAACTCCATCCAGCAGATGTTTAGGTCAAACATGCATTCTAACTCCTCCTACCACCCTCCTAAAGCTCCTCAACGCAGAAACTCGCGTTGCCGATCCAAGTCCAAACCACGTTCTCCGGAAAACCCTGACTAGTGCTGGTACCACAACACGTTAGCGGCAACCGTCGCTGGTGGCACTGGCCGCCTACTTTACATCCATGATTTGATAAGCCAGACTCGATACTTGGTTGACACAGGCGCCGAAGTCAGCGTCCTTCCTGCTACATCAGCAGATCGACAGAAGGAACCTACCTTCAACTTACAGGCTGCAAATGGAAAACCAATCGCAATCTTTGGTAGAAAATACGTCTATCTGAACGTATGTTTACGCAAACATATTCGGTGGATTTTCCTTCTCGCTGACGTTACAATGCTCATCATTGGCACGGACCTACTTAATCATCATGATTTACTCGTAGACGTCCGCCGAAAACGACTGATTGATAATACTACTAGTCTGTCTATCAAAGGCATCAGCTACATAGGCCCTAGCTTGTCACCCATTAAGATAAAGGCAATCATTGATCCCACTTTTCAACCTATTGTTGACAAATATCCCGAACTTAATTGCCCGTCTAACGACCTACCGTGCATAAACAGCAATGTTATGCACCACATCATTACCCGTAGCATCTAGAGCACGACGACTAGCTCCTGACAAACTGAGAATCGCCAGGAATGAATTTGACCATATGCTTACCTGTTGGCATCATTCGACCTACGAATAGCCTATGGGCATCCCCACTTCATATGATTCCGAAAAAGGATAGCAATGATTGGCGACCTACCGGTGATTACCGGCGAGTGAATGCCAAAACAACCCCTGATTGCTACCCGTTGCCTCATATACACGACTTAGCGGCAACATTATCTGGCGCGACTATATTCTCTAAAATCGAATTGGTTAAAGCGTATAACCAAACACCGATGGCAACAGAAGATATCCCGAAAACGGCTATCATTACGCCTTTCGGACTTTTTGAATTTCTACGTATCCCATTCGGTCTCCGGAATGCAGCCCAAACATTCCAACGCTTCATTGACGAAGTATTTCGCGGTCTCAACTTTGTACACGCATACTTAGACGACTGCCTCATTGCCTGTCCAGACAAGGAAACTCACCTAGACATTTGGACTTGGCATTTGAAAGGCTACGCCAACATGGCGTTAACATTAATATTCAAAAGTGTCAAATCGGTGTTGACTCACTCGACTTCCTGGGTCACATTATTGACTGCAAGGGCATTCGCCCACTGGCTACTAAGGTCGAGGCTATACGAAAATTTCCACAGCAACAGACGGTGAAAAGTCTGCGCACAATTAACGGCTTAGTAAGTTAATACCGACGCTTTACTACCAATTGTGCCTGTCAGCAAACTGTCGTAAACCGTTAATGCCCAGCTCTTGCTACGCTCGGGCTCACGCTGTTCCTTGAAGTTTCTCAGAAACGCTTAGTAATAACGGACGGAAAACCAAAACACCAATTGGTGACTCCAGGATTCTTTATTGTTACACCAACATATAAACACCGTTACAACTAAGGTCTGTGAACAAATATTACAATAATAAATCACAAGATTACTTCTGACGGTTTGCTGCTGACTTCTTTCTGAACAGCGACCGATGAGACGATGACTGTCGTATTGATGCCTCCGCGAAAATCGGAGAAGTTGATTTTGAGCAAACAAACCAATAATTGATCGTCCAATCTTCAACTCCATTGACACTCTCCGGCAAAATACGGATCCATCCCTTTTTTCCATCACGGCCAATACACGTTGACTTTGAGAGAACCTGGGTCACACGGACAGAGCTGAAATGGAAAACAAACAGAAAAGCCAACACACCACAAGCATACTCACAGCACAATCTCACACATCGATGACGACCTGCGGCTTCCAGTTAAGGGTATCATCTTGATATCATGCAACACAATCGCCACTTGCTAGAATGACTCTTGCTGAATGCAACGTGACCATAGCACCACCTCACGATACTCTACGCACATCCTCTTGTCTACTCACTACCAATTACCACTGCAATCGCTTGTCACTCATTCTGCCTCAGTTCTAGCAGCGGTGACGTATGCGAGCCTCAGTCGTTTACACTCTTTCTCCCCGGCGTGTCGGACCGCAGCTAACAATTATCTCCGTATGCATTTCATTCTCAGCAATAGCCTAGCCTCCCCGGCGTATACGACCCATCTGCTGTCCTTAACATCAATCAATTCATTCATGGATGTAGAAGAGTGGACACAACTTCAGAAGTAATCACGACGAAAATTATAACAAAATTACGCAATAACAACAAGATACGAAAACAACAAGTAAACACAATGAATCCAAAAACACCAATTGATATGACACACCACACATATATACAAACTGTACACACAAACTCGCAGATCATGTCTTAATGGAATTCCTTTGAAGAATCGCAGGATTTACACCAGTACGCCTACAACCCTTCTCACGTTGACGATTGTAAGTTGTGGAATATCCGGACACAAACAAGATTAACCAACAATTACAATAATTGGAACTCACACAATTATTTAACACAAACATATGTACAATCAACACATCAGATGTCATGGATTCTGGCACGACAAACTCCCCATGATGAACTGTAGGACTTACAGCAGTACGCCTATATTCCTTCGTCGCAGAGTTCATTTGCTGACTTCCTTCTATGAGTTATATCCTCAAATCTGAACGGCAACACGCTCATGTCTTTGTATCGTAGAATATAGATGACCAACAAACACACGACATATCTCATCAACCAAGTGTAGAAACAGAGTAATTTACACCAAAGACAGTAACATTCAAATAGTAACTTGAAACTAGAAATACCTTTATTCATGCAAGTCAATTTAACAATTACTCTCTCGTTTACACTTGGCTTATCCTCTCTAAACTGAGCAATATCTTTCGTCTTTTCGAATGCACCAATACTATCATAGTCATTGCATAAGGCACGTGAGTTCATGGACGTCCATTTCATTGTGGATAAAAACGCCAACCATGACTGATTGACACAAGGTGATGAACACAGCAGTGGATCAGAAGCTGTTGTTATTCGGCTTTCAGATAGTTGTCTAACTGCAAGATTACCACCACTGCTGTCTTTCACTACTAGTTCCGGTTTAACACTATCATCTGATGACAGGTGGGCTACATGCTGATCAATTACACTGACGGTCTCACAAGTATGCATGCCTTCTGCAACTGCACCTGCATTTATTTCTACTTCACGTTGTAGTTGTACAGAACCCTTATTAAACTTAGCAGTAGTAGGCATTCCCCTCATTTCATCATGATCAACCAAAGACATATCTGCACTATCATGATCATTATCACAAATATTCAATTTACCATCATCTATCTGGTCGACTTCATCAATTTCAAACTCTTTAATAACAGAAGTGGACAATTTTGGTTCCTTCTCACAAATCATTAAAGGTTTTATAACTTCACTCTGACTAGTAATACCTTGTAAACTTGTAGGGTCAGAACTGGACTCTGAAGCAGCAACTCTATTCTGTGACACTCTATTCAACAATGGCTTAGAATTGCAACTACAGGCTTCTTCACCACACCGTTATCGTCACACAATTCGGAGTCGGACCTTGATTTCACACTTAGCTTATCACTGAACTTGCTCACTGGTTCACAGTTCACCTTTGTATGCACCTCTTGCAAACGTGTAAAACACAACCGTGTTTGTCTCGCATCTTGTAACTTATCTGTTGAGGATGTACTACGAAACCTGTTACACTCACTAGGTCTATATGCACTACTGAACATCATGGTGCCTTCTCGATATCCACCTCTCTGAGGCTTATTCGTCATCAATGAGCGCGTTTTAC